AGGGGGGTCGTAATTTTCAGAAAATGATCACAACGCGATGGCGTGCCCTGGTTGGCAGAAGCCCCGTAACCACGCCGTATGGATGAAGGTCGTAATTGCGAACTTGCTGTCACGTCGTGGGTGAGGTGTAGTCACTTGAGGAGGGACTTGTGACAGATCTACGTAGTGCTACGTTACTCATGAATCGCTTTTCGTGTAGTTCTGTTCATTGGTTATTGGGCAGTATATCACTTTCGGATTCTATCTACCTTTTAGTCTTACTAAAAGGACGCATTTATCTCACTGCCGCTCTCACTGATGCTCCGAAAAAAGTGTTATCGCAAGATCAACCGTCCTTCAATGGCGCAACAAAGGCGACCTGTCATGAATCGATAGTTCCCCTCATATCAGCCATCAGTCTGCGCTCTTGTTGGATCGCTTTCGTTTTTTTTTCACTTTTCGCGACTGGTTATTTATCGCAGAAGTCGCATATACCTATCAAAGTGTTGACTTTCAGGTAACCCAATCCCGGCAAAATGGTGACCAAGATAAAGGGAGGTGATGTCGTTGAGATGCAGGGAGACGAAATGACCAGGTGAGGAGTGCTAGATTTCGTGCCGTTGTATATCCCCATTTATATCTGATTATTGTGGCCGAAACTACATCGGTATTGGTGGTTTTGGTACTATGTACTATTGTTGGTCATTGACTCGCTATGGCTCCACATATACACTTTATTCCTGAGACTGGGTAGGCGTGGCATGTAAACATGGCTCTGGAAGTGTTACTCTAGGATATTGTAGTTTGAGACAACTGTCATCTTGTTCTGTGTTGGACAGAGACACGACCACAATTGTGTCAAAATGAAAATATCTCTCCAAAAGCACAGCCACCGCCAAACTTAGTTGAAGTACGCAGCCACGTCCACCCCATTCCAGGGTTTTTGAATGTAGATTCACTTCAAAGTTATTCGAGCAGCAGGAAAATAGCAGTGCTATTTCTTCCTTGAGCTTTTCCATGAAAGTTAGATGCAAGCCGGTCGCCTGTCAGCATTTATGAGCTCACATGACATGAAAGGAAAGGCATGTGGCGCTAATGTAGTTGGGGATTTGGCCACGCCGCGGTCACACGAATTTTTTAGTTATCTCTATTGTCGCCTTTCCCGTAGTATGCGCATTTATACTTACACCAATGTTGGCTAGCGTTCACTGTCGTGTGCACCATGGGGTAATCCTCAGTGGACGAATTTGATAGTAGACATCCATGCGAAAACCTCAGCAGCCCTCCTGCTCGTGCTTGCTCACGGCCCTGCTTGAAGGACCACGTAGTTTAGTAACTGCAAACCTACCGCAGGGGTGTCTTTTATAGGCGAGAAGGACGCTATCATCATCAAAACATCACCTCAGATGATACTGCAGCACCCACCGGTTTCTGTTTCGACATTCTTCATTTTTTCTGAAGTTTCGACGGTCTCGTCGTTTTGAAAGGCCTGAAAACCTACCGAAACTCAACACAGACTCGTTCCTACTAGCAGCAACTCAGTCCAAGGGACTACTGACGAAAAGGGAATTTCAGCGAGTGGTCACCTTTACAGGTTCAGCAGCACCGATGAGTCGCTCAGCTTTGGTGACACTAGTCTCAGTTGCTCCATTGTGTCATTGAGGTTGGGCTGCTCATCTTTGCTGGCTATTGGCGAGGTAACCAGCCGTTAGAATTTCTTTTTCTTACGTAGTCCCTTGGTCCGAGTTACAACTAGTTAGGAAAGGGTTTGGTTAAACAGGATATTTAGAATATGATGAATTTCGAATGCAATTGGGCCTATAAAAACAATGATATGTTGAAACGTCAGGCAAAATAAAGAATTCCACCGCACAAACCTGTTCGAATTAAGAAAGAAAGTGTTCATTAGCTATGCTCACCGCCCCACGATGAGGTCTAGCGCTCCCTGCGACAATGGCCTAACCTCTCGAGAGACGTGAGCTCTCCGTTTTGAGTGAACCAGTTCCCTCATGTGAAATGGTTTTAATCCCAAGAAAAAGGATTTACCTGCACGGAAACATCCTTTCCATGTCAGGGCAGCTTGCTGAAATGTGGCATGTCCTAACAACTAATGTATAATATTTTACTGCAGCCCTGTTTTGGACTTGCCCCTTCTAATGCACTATGAATGGACTGAAGGTATATGCATCTTTGTACAAAGACAATATTTAGACAGAGGATTTTCGAAGACGCATCCGATTTTTTTCGACTATTTTCTCCGGAACGTATACTTCTCTTTCCTGTACTTTAACACACTAGGCAAGTCGCTGTAAACGAGGCATGTTTAAGGTCAGGCTCATTGCCTTTCCTATGCCGCGTTTCGGGGATCTTTCTTCTCATAAGCAGGTGAACCCAAGCACATAATAACCGTAACTTTTGCTTGAGAAATAGAGTGCCCTCATATCAGTCAAAATCTTTTTTCCACACTACTACTTTTGCAGATTCCTGAAGTTTTGTATACACAGTAAAAATAAATTGCCATGAGATAATATATTCGCTATCCTCTTGACGAGACCCTTTGCACATCTACTTCAAAAAGGTCATTTTACCTCGGTGCGGTCATTTCACATTATATTCAGCGGGAATGAATAAGTGTCATAGTCACTTGGCATGTCATGATATGTCCTAGCCGCTATCACTTTCTCTATCTTCTGCCCGGTAAATCACCCGTTTTTTTTACACTTTGCTCCTTTCTCCTAGTCGGCGATAAGAGAACAATGACAATCACCTTATATAGATAAGAGAGTGGTGGACCGAAAGTCCAATTTCCTGTTGCGTCTGTTATAATAACCGAATCGGCGAAATCAGTTCTGATAAATTTATACTCAGCACTAAGAATGTTGCTAAATAGTTGTTAAACAACTGAAAAGAAGTTCGAACGCCGTTGAAGCACGAGTTTCTAGATTAGAAGGATTAGGTCGACATCTCGAATTCTGTTGAAGCACGTAGATTAGAAGGATTACGTCGACATTACCAATGGAATTCACGGAACTATATTTTATTCACGGAACTATATTTTAACTATCTCCGGGCCAATTTTTTACTGACTTTTCTCTCCACAGATAGATTTGACCGAAAATCTGCCTCCAGGGGTAGTTTGAATCTCTTGGCCACGAACAACGCATTCGCTTATCCGTAACCGTTTGGCGTCCACGCTGTATGAGACGGCAAGTCATGACGGTTTTCAACCCCGCGGGGATAGCGCGGACTCCAGGCCTTTTCTCGCTAAGCGGTGTGTTGTGTTAATTGAGGAAACACGGTAATAGAAGGCGGCACTTCTTCAAACTGCCTACAGTAATGACGCTCCCCTTTGCTAACGTTCGCCTCTAGCAAAAAAGATCACTGTCTTCAAAAAGGGTTTAGAAGGTGAGAATCAGGCCGCGTTGTAACGTGCACCCTATTTCTAGCCTTGGATCCCATGCACCCATACAGATGCTATATTTGTGTGCACGAGGCCACGATTTTAGCGATTTACTATAATTTGGCGTCGGCGCCTCTGCCGCGGGCACCAGGCTGTTCCAAGCCAAACGGAGTAAGGAGTCAAAGTATCCGTGAAGGTGGTTTTCAGACACATCAGGTTCCCGACTAGAACTCAAGATACGAAGTGGTAAAGGGTGAACAGTGTCAAATCTACGGTCCACCCCCCTCAATTCCTCAAACGATGAACTCTACAAAATGTGTTGCGTTGAGGGTTTTCGTGCACGTACTATTTATAGGATCATCTGGGATCTGATCAAAGAGAAGCTCATCTTACCCTTCGTCGACCTAGACCTTCATTCATTCGATTTGGGAATTGAAAACAGGGACGCCACTGATGATCAGGGTAAGTATGCGGTTCTTTTGATTAGGTGGTGTGCTGTTGAGATGGAACTTACGAAAGGAAACAATTCGAATTCTGTCGAAATACTCTTTCTTTAGTCACCATTGATGCTGCCAAAGCCACCTTGAAGTACAATGTAGCCGTCAAATGTGCCACAATCACTCCTGACGAAGCTCGAGTTGAAGGTGAGCTAAGAACACTGTTGGAAATTTTGCTGTGAATTTCCTGAGGAATCATTCAAAGTTGCTCAACCAGTGATGAGGCTGAAAAAAGGCTATTCCACTCCCTACGACTGTACTAGTCCAAAACGCAAAGCCGTGACGTCAAGGTAAAAAGCCGCCTTAATGTGTTGTCCAGAGCCACCACACAGTGATGTTCATTAGTTTTTCTATCGACACACCCACTTAATGAACAAGGAGACACTTTCAGCTGAAGTTTATTGTGGAGACGTGAGGTTTCGTGAACGGAACTGTTCTTTTGCAAAGTTATTTGGCTTCACGTGAACAGAGGGCCCAGACGTAATAAGGTGGTCCAAGATGGGGGTGATGCGAGCACCTGCTGCACCATTCAGCATTGAGATTTAGCATTGCAGGATTATCACTGAGATTATCAAGTGATTTGAACACCATCTACATAATCTAAGCTTCAGTGACATCTGAGCAGTTTGCACAAGTTTGGGCGCATATTTTGAACCTAGTGCGGGTTCGTGTTTTTAACGGTAACAGGTGGATGTACTGAACGAAAAGTGGTGACAGAATGTTACTGATTCTAGGATGGCTGCAAAACCCCCCCCCCCCCCCACCATCTTTAATTGCCACGTTTGATTTCTCCTTAATTTGTTGTTCAAAGAATAAATACTGAAATATGCATTGATTTCCGTCTCACTGGAGAAGCTTAGCCTCAAATGTTCTTGTATTTCAGAGTCAAGCTGAAGAAGATGTGGAAGTCACCCAATGGCACAATCCGTAATATTTTGGGAGGTGAGTGCAGCAAATATTTGTCTATTACTGTCTGCTTAACTGTGAAAGGAAGGACGGCGATTGGCTTGGTGAGGGTAACCAATGGTACTTTGCGAGCCCTGTACAGGTCACCTTGTATGAGGCTTTAAATATTTCTAGCTAAAGGGGCTCACTTACATTTTCGAAGCTGCAAGAACTATTAGGTTGTTCGAAAAGTCCTGCGACACTTTGATTGAATTGTTCTAGAAAAAGCTGTCCTCGGGGGTTTCTGCACATGGTATCATCATTGACTTTGTGGAATTTTTCAAAGCTTAAAAGTCCCTCTCAGATATGGAGGTACTTTTCGACCTATCCCATAATATGGGTTCTTGTAGGGCCACTCCGCCTAGTCGAGGAAGCTCACACTTACGTTGTCTTGAAGGAATATCGCTTGCCATGGCAGAGGGTAGCTTTTGCATCAGCGCTTCCAGGCTGGACTTATTTAACTCGTAGTTAGGCAATGTATAGGTCGCCCACCAGCACAGAATGACGGCCCTTTACTCAAGCTTCTTGAGGCGCAGCCGAAGGTAACCACCAGTATGTTGGCAACCTCTTTAGGCTTCACCTGACTGACAACTGCCATGCTTCTCCGCAATCTCGGTTATCGGGAAAAATAAGGTGCCTCATGAGCTGGACCAGTCTGACAAGTCATACCGAATGACCGCGACTGAGTTTTCTTTTCCTTGTACACAGCGTACGAACTTTTGTGAGATCATGTGGTTAGTAGCGAGTGTTAGACTCCTTGCGTACATCATGCACATGTCCCTCGCAGGATACAAGGAAAAAAAAACTCA